GTACATCGGCACCACGCACTTTTCTTCGTCTAGGTCGGACAAAGAAAAATGAAAATTTTGCAGGGACGAAAAGAACAAAAAGGCCAACAAGGCGCTTCCGCAATTCATTAGAGCCAAGTACAACCAAGGAGACTTGTAATTTTTAATATTCAAATTCCAAGAGACATTAAAGACGATGCTCCAAGATTGTAATCCCTTCTCTTATTTCCAAGAGATTTTATACACTACAGGTAACCCCGTAACCATCAGGTGTTTCCGTTACCCATAAAAACATCCCGCGCGTCCTTGAAATCCTTCGTCCACTTCCCACAGCGACCACCTCATTTCCACCTACATTCCCGACATGCAGCAGTCGCGTGATCCCGTTCACGTTATCTTGTTTATCAATGCCCAACAGTGCATCGCGTACCGTTCGCGTTTCCCGGGGGGACCTCGGGATACGTGGTACGGCCCTGACGCCCCATTAGGCACAGTGAAATTATTGATCCCCGCTAATTGCTCGTGTCGCGTCAGAGCGAAAAGCACTTTGACAAAAGGAAACAGTCGTAAACTCTTGCCATAAGTTTAATACACTGCGAGGATAATATACGTCCGCGATAATGACCCCCACCACTGTGTACCTATATAACGACAGTATACCGGAGCTGATAATGATTAGCCGATTATTAGGTGCACGAGGGTTAAAGTTTTCGAGTATCACAAATTATCCAAAACATATTCTCGTTTTCGTTAATCGACAATTCCCACTCCCGTTTCGTCCCTCCCACTGGCCCGCCGCGAAGACGCCCGAAACACTCTTGTATTTCGGAGCAAGAAAAATATGAAGCTTTCCCATAGAGCCTCGTAATGGCCGTTCGCTTATTGGCTCGCGTCGTTGTTCAAGGGTACGAAAAGCAGGCGGGGATATTCGAGGGGGGTTTAGTGGCGGCTCGCTAGAATATCCATATTTATGTAAATGAGCACGTTGCATGCCATCCCATACCAATCGATAGATTCATCGCGTAGACGCGACGGTATGCGTGCCCTCGGCACATGTGAAGTACATGCGTGTCCCGCGGTGCGGGTTGGTTATGGTTTTTTGCCCGAGGGTGTTTCGTGAGGAGAAACAAAAAAGGGGGGATGCGAGAAACAAATGAGACAGAAAAGTACGACGAAAGTGTGTCCAAGGGTGAGAAGTTTGGTGAAAAAAAGGCAGGGGGAGGGTGGGATAACCTCAAATATTATTAAGGGTCGCGACGACCCCTGCGTGACTTATGGATTGATCGGAGCGTGCGTGTACGCAAGGGATGTTAAATAGTTGACTTAAAAATATGAAATTGACTCGATGATTAGGGGTAAATATTTTATTTAGCACAGGGACAAAATTTCATCCCTTTGATATTCAAAGAAAGACCAACCGCGACCAACCCTTAACTAGTAAGTATCTAGGATTCTGACTGTACGAAGTAGTCGTCTACCCAACCCAATCCCTTAACTCGACTCGAGACTCTAACTTTAATTGAATTTAAATTGAATTTAAAATATTAATATTTCTCTATATTACAGTTATTACGTTTGCCCGCTTCTCGCTATCGTGCCTGAGCATTGCGCTTCTCTCTCTCTCTCTCTCTTTCTCTACAGCCCCCCT